GTAGCTTCCTGCTTGTGTGTATGGTATATACTGACTAGACCTAGAGAAAAACAAGTGTATCTTCCCTTCCTAGATGATAAAATTCCATGAAGGGATTTACTTCTGAGGCAGCAGTTAAATAGAAATGACCATGGGGATACTCACATTTTCATAAACAATTTCCATTTCACAAGAAGGGGCCGCTGTCCCTGTAATCCTGACATCAAGAATCTCACAGGACTCATTTGTACCGATCATAACTATGGGTTCTGTGGGCTTATCAGCTCATGCTTTACAAACAAATGAGCTTTTTCATTTGTTCGTAATGACTTTGGTTTATAGAATGAGATCTTAAACTGTCCCCAGAGCAGTTATTTTGCTAAAATGTTATTAGAACATCTTTACAAATTTAGCAACAAAGGGGGCTTTCATTAACAATGGAAAACATTGAGAACCAAGGGCCCTTGGCAAATGCAGCACTCACAAATTTTTATTCTCAGTGATGAGTACAAATAACCTTTGACCTATACATTGATTCTTTATCTGGTGGGTGGATGGGGAAGGTGAAGGGTTGATGAGGCAGGACGAGATGCTAGGAAAACCAAAGAAGTATTCTCCAACTAGACTAACCAACTCTGTCCTTGCTCTTCTAAGGAGCTTTATTAGCCTTAAACAATGCAAACTGCCTAGCATCTGCTAATAGAGCCATTATCTTTCCTGAAAGCTCGGGAATTTGTAGCAGAGACTGAAGTCTGTTTTTCAATGGACAATCAACAGGCTTTAGATTATAAATGTAAACATATGTGTGTCCCATTTTCATAGTAATCAAATTTGATGTATCTGGTATGCACAGGGGGACAGCTGCTGACAAGCCTGAAACTTGACCTGCAGTATCTTGCAGATCACATCCAAATTATGTGATCTTTCTCTTGCTTTGTGGCTGCTGCTTCAGGTACAGAATCTGCCCCTATTCTGGGCTGCTTTGCCTTCAAAAGCCTCCTTTGTCCGGACAACTTTTGTGAGATTCTTTCAGGGTGCCCTGTGTGTCATTTCATTCAACACTTTTTTGCTGGGCTCCCTTTCAGTTTTTCTTTGCCTTGCACTGTGCACGTTCTTAAATACACAGCAAGCCTATATCCTTTCAGTCTACCAGAGGTGGCATTTTAACAAGGATCACTTCCATGAGCAGAATACTTTTTTTTTTTTTTTTCAATTTTAAGCATATTGATTTAATTATCTGCATTTTTTGAGCTTACATTTTATTTATTTATTTATTTTATTGTTGTTCAATTACAATTGTCCCCAGTTTGCCCATATTTCTCTCCCCTGCCCTACCCACCCCCACCTCCCACATTCAATCCCCTCTGTTCCCCCTTGTCTTTGTCCATGGGTCCTATTTACATGTTCCTTGGCTTGATCCTGCCTCTTTTCTCCCCCTTTATACCCCTTCTCCCTCCCCTCTGATTACTGATAGTCTTGCCAACATTGAATATGTCTCAAAGATGACTGATTAACTTGTGTATAAGAAATAAAAATTAAAAAAGAGGTTAGAGGGGACATTCATGGCCAGTTCAGCACTGAGAGAATTATAGGTTGGATGCATTATTATTTAGCAGCCCATTGGGTAGGCCCAGGGGTTGGTGATAGAACTCTTGTAAAGGATATGCTAATTTTTTATTTAAATTTTTTCTTGTTTTTACCTTTTATAAGATAGTGTTCTATTGAACAAAAAAATCAGAATTCACGGACAATTATCTGAATATTAGTACTAATAGAAATCAATATATCTTATTTTCCATTGTTATTAACCATTTCTAAATTGGTGTAAATAAAAACAACTGTCATGCACAGATCACCCTGGTTCCTAACTTACTATAAAGTTGTTAACAGGGCAAAATACCTTTACCCTCTCTCAATCCAGAGTTCCTTCTCCTGCTAAAAGAAGTTTATAATAGAGACATCATGATATTATTGGAGATACTAGATAAAATAAGATGTGTAACCTGAAGCATAGTATTGCACAGAAGTTTTATTTTCTGCCTCTGATGTCCCTTTAGGCAGTGTCCGGGGGTTTGGACCGTCCATCCATCTATTCATTTGTATATGCATCTTATGCAGGTCAGCAGCAGCCAATAGCAACTATTGAGTAACAAACATATGAACTGTTAGTAGTAATTATAGTATATGTCATTCAAGTTATTTCTAAGGAACATAGTTTAATATTCACTTTTTCTTTTTTCCTTTTATCTTTTTTATATTTCTGTGTGCCTTTTCTACTTGAAAATATTTCTTCTTGGGACTGGTTTCATAAGCAGTAACCAACCTTATTCAATAGGCTCTTTTCCTGTACTCTTTCTGGTATATTTCTAGCTTAATGAATTTCTTTTAGAAAGTAAACTGTTACTATTAGGTCAAATATTAGGAAAATATGCAATGATTGGTGAGTTGATGATTACAGTAGACATTTTATTGTTATTTCTTGCAAATATATTGCTCTCTTGGCCAAAGTCATGACAATAACACAGAGTTATGCTCTGTAGACTGTAATTTTTGGAAGAAAAGACTCATCCTCTTTTCTAGTTGTTGCTTTAGAGAAAGACAAGATATTTTAGCTTTCTAAATGCAGTTAGTTAACATGGAAGCCTCTTTGTAATTTTATGTTGTATTTATCAGGATTGACACAGTCTTCAAAGTGTGGTGGCAGTATTTTATCCTAAGCATTTTCAGGCATGCTGTGGCAAACAGGTGATACTCAGAGCATCAGAATGCTCTGTATACAGAAGAATATGCAGAAGAATAAGGTTTCACCAACCATTGGGAAGATTATTGATGGTACTTGCCTTAAGGGGGTACAGGGTGAAGAAGGAAAAGAGGAAAAAATGTGAAACTCTTTGCTGGTTGCTTTTGATGTTTCTATTCCTTTTGTTTAGGAAAAAAAAATCAATCAATCAAACAACAAACAGTAAAAATGCTTCAGTCAGCAAAGTTAAAGTAACTTTTTTCAAAATACTTTAATTACTTGCAGGAAGAGACAGAATAATGCCATTTTAGCCATTTCTGGGAATCATGAATTGTGTATGATAAACTCTTAACAACTCTACTGATCTGGTATCCTGACACGCAATCCTCAATAATCTGAATGTAGCCCTACGCAGTGGCCTAACAGGACAAGATGATCATTCTGCCTATAGTCATAAAGACACTTTCTCTTTTTACCAAATACTTCTTTAACCACAGCAGTATTTTAATGATCTAAGTCCTAAATCCTTAGAAGGGGTTGTTTCATCTTGTTATCCAGAGAAAGCACTTATTAGCCCCATTCAAATTATAAATGAGAAGTTTTAATAATAGATTATTGAATATTGCTCTAAGCATATATGCATTTCAGCTTTTTTAAAGTATTGGAGCGTTCTTCCAGAGAACTGAATTTTTAAAATGTGGGGTATACAAGGTTTGTCCAGAGGTATCCAGCCATGTAATATGAAAAATAAAGATATTTATTGAAGAAGATACAAGCAACATTGTACATAAGACAAAGACGCTTTAGTCCCCTTCAAAATAGGCACTCTGGGACCTCACACAGTTCTCCCAATCACCATCAGCTGCCCTGTTGTATTTTCCTGAATCTCATCAATGGACTGAATTCTCTTCCCTTTCAAAGGTGATTTTAATTTTGGGAAAAGGCAGAAGTTGGAGCATGCCAACCTTGGGCTGTAAGGGTGCTAAGTCACTTGGGTGACTTGATGTTTCACCAAAAATCTCTTCATGAGGTGTGATGCATGAGTGCATTGATTGTCATGAGGAAACTGCCAATTATCAATTGCCCATAGCTGCGGCCTTCTGAATCATCCAAGTAGTTTCTGAAGAGGAACATTTAAGCTTAAAATCTGATGTAGATCTGTTGCTCTACTCAATCAGTCTATTTGAATGTGATGACTATACAGGACACATGCTCACTCAACAGGATCTACTGCCCCCACTGACTAGTACAGTGAAGTTGTCATTGTTCACACATGTGCATTGTAGTCCACTGTCTTTGGCTGCCAGGTTACATTGATGCCGCACAACCATTCTCATTATATTAACAATAGCTTGACTTTTTCTGGATGGACCTTGTATGTTGAAACTTGAAAGAACATTTAGTAAAAAAATTGCCATGGCAAAATACATGTAAGAATTTATAACTTATAAATAATCAAAATCAATTAAAACTACTAACAGTGTTCCACTGTATTTTTGGAGTCGAAGTCAAAATTCAGCGTATTTTTTAACCTTTGTAAACATAGAAAAAAAGAACTTATTTCTCAAAATCTGAAACTTACATTTCATTTATTATCCATATTAATAATCTTTTAAGTTCCAAAATCCGGAGAGTTATTTGAGAAAAATAATTTTTAAAAATTATTTAAGAACTTAGGAGAAAATGTTTATGTTTAATTCAAATTAGTCAGTCAGTCTTTTTAATCAGTGCTTTCATGTAATTCTTGGGTCTACTAATTATGAGAGCAAAATCTTTGGTTTATAAGTCTATTAATGCTGGTGAAAATATAAAAAAACACCTTATTTTTATTGATTTCTTAAGTTTTTGTGTTCAAATTTTTGTTTAAATATAGTTTCAAGAGTAGGGAACTTTGATTCAAAGGGTCATCAAGGAATATGTATAAAGGACCCATGGGGCAAAGCCAAAGGGGAGTAGGATTGAGGGTGGGAGGTGGGTGGGTGGGGTGGGGGAAAGTGGTGATAGGAAAATTAGTTGTAATTTATTCAATTACAATTATAATTGAATACATTATATATAATATATATGTGCTACCTTTAAATAAAATACTTTAGTTATTTTATTCATTCAGTTGCCAATATTTTTGAATATTGTTATTATATAGTATTATTCTCATTCATATATACTCTAATTAACAAAATCATCTTTTAAAAAACTGACTGCCATAAAGCAGGATCTGTCTTTATTTTCAATACAGTGAAGCTTTTAATTAACAGAAAACCACCATGTGTTGCTTCTTTAGAATACCACTAAATGTTAGAGACATCGTCTACTGTACAGGAGTTTCCCTGCTAGATGAGGATGTCTGGGAATTCATATGGATGAAATTCCACTCCACCACAGCAGTTTCTGAGAAGAAAATATTATTGGAGGCCTTAACTTGCAGTGATGACAGGAATTTATTAAATAGGTGGGTCAATTAATGTTATATTCTATTTGTGTAATGAAAGTGTTTTTGACCTGGCTAGGTAGCTCCGTTGGTTAGAGTGTCATGTGGATATGTCAAAGTTGTGGGTTCAATCTCTGGTCAGGGCACATACAAGAATCAACCAGTGAATGCATAAATAAGTAGAACAACAATTTGATGTTGTTCTCTCTCTCCCTCCCCCCTTTCTTCTCTCTAAAATCAGTAGATAAAAATTAAAAAATTTTCTCTGTTAATCAAACTGTTTAAAGTTGTCTCTATTTCCTCGACTATATTGCTAGTTACTATAAAATCTATATTCCTAGAACTAAGGTAAACTGATATGTTAACACATCTACAACTAGTTGACTTGAAAGATATATTTTGTTTCTAACTTTTAAATATATTTTTACTTATATATGTAAGAAAATATTTCAATATATAAAAGTGTTTGAACAATAAAAAATTAAAAATAGCAAAAAAAAATAAAGAACATATGAACATAAATACCACAAGAAAAAAATAAAAAGATTTTAAAAATAAGTTTGCATCATCAAACCAGAAGTGCGACTTGTTCACTCACAAGATTTTTTCAGCATTTAATTAATGTATTAATGAACTTACTATGAGTTTAATCTTTCTCCTTTTTTATAACCAGAAAGTTATTCTATTGATTAGTTTGTATTTGTAAAGTTTACTGTGAACTGTTCTGTTAAGAATATGGTAAGTTATATCATGTAATTTTTGTAATTTTATAAAAATGTTTACATTATTGGACTAAAAATTTCCCCCCAATTCTATCTTTAAAGGCTTCTGAATCTGTCACTGAACTCTGAAGTGGTGCTGGATCAAGATGCAATTGATGTGATAATCCATGTGGCTCGAAATCCTCATGGCCGGGACCTTGCCTGGAAGTTTTTCAGAGATAAGTGGAAGATATTAAATACCAGGTAGGTATAAAAGTTCAATCATTCCTATTTGAGTGAGTAAATTAAAGGTGACATTTGAGAGATAAAAGCCCAAATTTTTGTGTTAGAACAAAGGTCCAGGTAATAAAGTTAGATTTTTAAAAAGTCAACCAAGAAGGGTCTTGCCATGTCTATTAAACTCAAAATCATTTTAACAATTCTATAACATTAATAATTTATTAAAGATTGATAACTCTAATAACACATGGAAATGTAGAGTGTAAATAGTTTTAGCAGTGCAATTTTCCTTGGCAATCTATCAAACTGTCTAAAGTTGAAATTGTTATCATAAAACCCCTATATCCTGAATGTGTTATAAAAAATGATTCATCAATCATATATAATTGTATTATAACAAGAAAACTTTACTTATGTAGAGTTGTTTTAGGTTACTTCAAATATAAATATAACCAAACACCTGAAATAAAACCATGAGATAAAGGAGGAACATTTGAATCATTGTATAATTCTAGTTGCAATATAATTCATTCCCGAGCTATCTTGTTTCATGGTGAGAATATTTCAGCCTCAATTTTCGGAAGTATTTTCTTATATATTTAAATATATTATAATAAATGTTAATTTATTACTCTGATAATCTCTATGGTATTTTAAAATTAAATTTACTATAAAGCATCTAAATGTTACATGTTTTCAAACTTAAATGTCCCCAGAGAATGTGCATATCTACTGTTCTGTTCCCTAATAACTTGTGTATAAACTTTACTTTTAAAAGTACACCTTGAGGCCAGGCTGGTATGGCTCAGTGGATTGAGTGCTGGCCTGCAAACCAAAGTATGGTCGGTTCAGTTCCCAGTCAGGGAACATGCTAGGGTTGAGGGCCAGGTCCCCAATTGGGGGTGCAGGAGAGGCAACCACACATTGATATTTCTCTCCATCTCTTTCTCTTTCCCTTCCCCTCTCTCTAAAAAGAAATAAATGAAACCATTTTTAAAAAAATGTACACCTTTATTAGTTGTCTTAGAATAAAAAATTTAATCTGAATCAATGTGTCACATTAAAACATATTTCTGTCAATGGGAGGGAAGGAGGCAGGAGGGGAATGGGGAAAAGAAGGGGAAGGGTCAAATCAAGGAACATATATAAAGACTCATGGACAAAGCCAAAGTGGGAAAGGATTGAGGGAGGAAGGTCGGGGTGGGTGGAGCAGGGGAAAGCGGTGGTGGGAAAATGGAAACAAATGTATTTGAACAATAAAAAAAAATGAAAACAAAAATAAACATTTCTATCAAGAGATATTTTGTTGTCAGAAAACATTGATATTCCCAGAAAGCACATTTTTTAAAAATATTTTCAGCTCAGAAAATAAAAATTCACTCTCAGACATTCCACCTAAATGGGTACTTGCAAAACTAAATCCATCATTTATCTTTTCCTTTTCTCAGCAAACAATATGGCTATCCACCAACTGCTCAACCCAAACACCTAGAAATCTACATATGATTCCCCCTTTCCCATGCTGTACTTAACAGTTAGTCTTGAGGTCTTGTCAATTTAACAATTCTTAAATGTTTCTTAAATTAACCCTCTCTTTCCTACTACTGCTGTAGTGTAGGTTATCTCTTACCACTACTATTAACAATAGATTTTTGTTTCCCTGCCTCTGTAATTATATCTATCACTACACACACACACACACACACACACACACACACACACATCTTTTCCATTTGTTCCAAGAATCACTCTGAAAAACAAATGTGACATTTCCCTGATGTAAAACCTTCAATGGTTCTGTGTTATACTGAAAACCTGTTTCCTAATAAGTCCTCTGACTAACCCCTTGGCCTCTTGTTTTGCTATACCCAGCCTCACAATTTGTACACTCAACACCAAATGCCTGTAGTTGTCTGCAAACACCATGTCGTTTCACACCTCCTTGCATTTGTTTATGTTGGTTGTCTGCCTAAATTACTTTTCCCCTTGATATTCAGAACTACTCTGTACTCAATCTATATGCCAGCATCTCTTCAAATCATTTCCCAAGAGCCACAGCAAAAGAGACCTCCTCTAAACAAGGTGTATAATTTTATTATCACCACAGTAAATAGAAATGATCTATTTACAATACCATATAGTATAATACCTGTAATAAAAGGATTGTGCCTTATTCATCTTTACATGACTGTAAGTGAAGTATAAGCAAAAGGCTCTTAGAAAAAGAATCATTTTTATTCCTGCACAGCGGGCCATTTCTTTAACCACATAGTGATTATGAATATTATATTATTGAATGTGTGTTTATTTTATTTAGCTAACTTTTTCTCGTGTAGTAAATAGTCCAATGTTAGTATTATAATAAATTTTGACAGTCATCCAGTGTAGTCCTCTCATTTTACAGATAAGAAAACTGAGGCTTCAAAAGCTAAATTATGTGAAGTTCTACAAGTAAGAGCAGCATTAGAAAATATCTTGTGATGGTGGCTGGACGTTTGCTGCTAAAAACTTATTTTTGGTGTACTTTTCTTTTCTGAGTATAATAGCCTATGTTAGGTATACTTAGCATAAAATAGACAAACTGTTAAAATGAAAACTCTTGCCTTGGGTCATGAGTCAAGTAATTATGCTTGGTGTTAGAAGAATTATGCAATTCAAATGAACAACTTGATATTTTATTTTAATACCCATATGAAAGAAAAAGCTAATATTTTTGGAAGCATTTTTGAGAAATTTGGCTTAGTTTCTAAGTGTGAAACACAAGAATGCCAATTTCAGTTTTAATCCACCAGACCAAAGGCTCTGTGTGACATACTGATAATGCTCAGATCTGTCTCACAGTCCTGTTTCCTTTGTTGGGGTTGTTTTTCCTAGTGAGCTAGGTTACTTTAAAGTTGAAAGTTTATAAATGGTTCTTCCTCAGGCCTTGGACTGGAAATGTAATAGTAATTTCTGTATCTAATTTTAGAGGGTTTTTTTTTAAATTACCACTACTCATATTTCTCTTAGAAATTGTGAGCCAGTCAGGTGTCATCCGCTGGTATCTCATAATCACAGCTCTTTGCATCTCCCTGCCTCCCTGGAGAAATGACCTTGAATGCTCAGAGATTTTGATGGCATTAGGACACCACTTGTCAAATGGAAACTTGAGAAGGATTCCAGAAAATCTTTATAGTAGTATTTCTATTTTTATTTTTTTAATTTTTCAATTACAGTTGGCATACAATATTATATTAGTTTCAGGTATATACCCCAGTGATTAGACATTACATAAGCTACTATGTGATCATTCCAATAAATCTCGTATCCATCTAACATCAGGCATACTAATTAGAATATTATTGACTATATTCCATATCCTGTACTTTACATCCCTGAGACTATTCTGCAACTACCAATTTGTAACTTTGGAATCCCTTGACCTTTCACCCATTCTCCTGACCCCCCCTCCCATCTTGCACCCATCAAAATGTTCTTTATATCTGTAAATCTGTTTCTACTCTGCTTTATTTACTTTGTTTTTTTAAGATTCCATTGGTAGATATGTATTTATTGCCATTTATTTTTCATATTTTGATCTTTTTTACTTCTTAAAGAAGACCCTTTTAATATTTTTTGTAATACTGATTTGGTGTTAATGAACTCCTTTAGCTTTTTCTTGTCTGGGAAACTTTTCATATGTTCTTTGATTCTAAATGATAGCTTTGAATATTTCTTGACAATCCCTTCTGGCCTGCAAAGTTTCTGTTGAAAAATCTGCTGATAGTCTTATTGGAGCTCCCTTATTGGTAACTCACTGCTTTTTTCTTTCTGCTTTTAAGATTCTCTTTCTCTTTAATCTTTTTGCATTTTAATTATGATTTTATTGGTGTGGGATTTTGGGGGTTTATCCCGTTTGAGACTCTCTGTGCTTCTTGGTCTTGTTTGCCTATTTCCTTCACCAGGTTAGGGAAGTTTTCCATCATTATTTTTTCAAATAGGTTTTGAGAGACCAAGAAATATTAATATTTCTAAATTACTTCCTGTATTAACATTAAGACTTATTTTTATCTTTTGAGGTATGGAGAGGCATTATTTATGAATTCCAAACTTATCAGTGGAGTTACAGAATTTCTTAATACTGAAGGTGAACTTAAAGAGGTAAATATTTGAAGATTTATAATGTTTTTCTTTTATAAACATATAGAATTGTACATTTACTTTAACCATTTTCTTCCAACAGAATTATATTCATTCCTTTATCTCTCATATACATACACACTCACCCATGTGAAAGCCTTTACTCAATTCATTATTTGCAAAGAAATTTTTAACATGTTAAACATTAAATGCCTTCAAGAAGTGTTTGAATAGGGTATTCCAATCTACTTCTTTAATCCAATCAGCTGCTCCTCAGCTGATTCTGTGAATCTAGTTTAGGATCCTCAAAATAACAAAAAAATCCTGTTACAATGACTCACTATTTGGATATAGAAGACCAAAGTTCAAGGTGAGGTACAGAACTTGAATATCACTGCTTTGTGCTCAGGCTTATACAAAGAATGGATAACTGGATGTGATGATAATCCTTCATGCTATTCAGTCTGCTAGATGGAATTAATTCATATGTGGAAAGCGACTATATCTGGAATATGTATTGAGATTAATAGTTTGTTTAAAATTATGCTTGGCACAATCACAAAGGAATTTCATTAATGAGAATGTACTCAGTTTTTTAAGGACTAGTGTCCTGTTTGTGGAGTACCTAACAATTCCTTTTTTTCTGTGGTTTATTTCTCTTGAAACCAACTACTGTTTTGACAAGTTACATCTCTCATAAGGGTGTGAAATAGGAAGTGGTAAGTAGGTAGGAGGACAGAGTAAAAAATAGATACTTTTAATTGATTACAATAAGAGGGGCTTCAAACATCTCTCTCTTTTGCTTGCCGCTCTCCTGGACTCTACAACATTGCTGAGATTTGTCACTGAGAATCATGGTTTCCTCAGGTTTCACTGATGGAATGCCCGATGCTTTGACCCAGAGCCAATCACACTGAGCAGCAGTCCCTCCTGAGCATCAATCCTGGCACCACCCTTAATCTTCTGATATTGCCCAATTTTGTATGATCATCTCCCATGCACTAACTGGGATTCTTTCACACCATGAGCTAAGCTAAGTCTCTTAGTATAATGCTTTGAAATTCAGTTTTTATCTCTGCTACATTGTTCCCAACCCTGAAGTATTTGATTTTGAAAGTCCTAGCATGTTTCACTATATTTTTAATAAAGAGAGCTAAATGGAAGGACTTTTTTTCATATCCATACAAAGCAGAAAGAAGGAGCAATTAAATGAATGATTGCTTCCAATTTTGTCTGTATTTAAATGAAGTACTTTTAATTCCATGATTTTATAGTCAATAACCTGGGAGTGAAAGACTCATTTAGTCACAACCTCTGCAGCCATTGAGTTAATGTAGAAGTAAAATGTCTCTCCTCTCCTCTTTCCCTCCTCCCTCCTTATTGCTGCCTTCCTTCTCTCAGCTTCTCTCCTCCCTGCTTCTCCCTTGTCCCCTCTCCCTCTTCTTCTATCCTCTAACTCTGTGTGTCTTTCATATTTTTCTTTGCTTTGGTAATACCAGGCCATAGGGAAAAAAAAAACTTAAATGGACATTTAACTGATTTTTACGCATTTTATGTATTTTATGATTTTTATGTATTTCATTTACATATTTAACTTTTTACTCTTGATTTAATTGCATTTGAAATGCTCCAAAATACCCTTATAATGAAAGGGGTGATTTCAAAACAAACTAACTTGTGACTTTTAGTTCATTATCTGCAAAGCAGCTGACTTCACAGTAGAAGCTCTCCATGGCATGAGCTATGCATAACTCCCTTCATGTCACAGCTGCTGGCTTGACTTTTTAGTTTAGCAACTGCGGCCTGAGGCTTCTCCATACTTTCATTATCTAATCGCCGGTATGAATGGGGATCACTGTTGCTGGGTGGGATGTGGATTTAATTTGTATTGCTGGTAACCCCCTTCCATAAATATAAAGAGACTGAGGAAATTCCAGTCTCTTTCTTCCGTAACCAATGAGGCTCATAAGCTGAAAGCCCAATGTGCTCCCTTTGGATATGGCACATTCTTATTTCAGCAGTTTATAGATCAAAAGGGAATCAACATCTTTATGAATTCTGAAAACTGATTCAAGATTTGAATGATCCCCATCACTTTAGGGGCATTAAGTAGAGATAGTTATATTGTTACATGGTCTCATCCCCAAAACTGCATTCTAGATCTTGAAACTGGCAATTTGCTTTAATTACATAGCTCTAGCAATTTGAACAATATTTCTCCATGAAGCAATGCATTACTTCCTCAATTTTAAACTAATGAAAGTACAACCACATGGAATGTCAGAGGCTCTTTCCGTTTTTCCATACTAATGTCCTTTAAGCAGTACTCTCCAGCACTCATTTTCCTACATCTTGAACCTAATGTACAACGATGTTGTAGGAGAATATAGAGCCCAGCCAGGCATAGCAGACATCCCATTTATAGTTTTAATGATCTATTTTGTGATGTTTAGGGTCTAAGGTACCCTAAAATAAGAATTTTATAGAACGCTACAATGTTCCTAATATAGAAATTGACAAACATTTCTAGAAATTTTATGCTATGAAGAACAGGGAGAACAAACAACTCTGACATCTTACAAAATATTACTTTATAAAAATGCCTGAACTTCCAACATTTTAATATAAAAGTCTAAGATAGCATAGATATTTAGGAAACACAATAATAAAAACTAAAAGCAGCAGAAATCCTAGCAAAGAGCTGCAGAAATAAGCAAACTAAAATGCCTTCCATCTACCCCATGCATCTATAGAGAGGCAGGAGTCTGGAAGGCATTGTGATCACTCCCTAGGACCAGTTAGAGGGCTGCTCTGACCACCTGTTCATAGAAGAGCTGAGGAGAAATAAGGGGCATAAAATCAATTTATGCCAGCTACGGAAAGTGAGCCAGGTGTCTTCTGATGAATAAGCTACTCCTAAGATTCATACAAGTCACCTCAGGCTCTCTGAGCTCACGAGGGCAGTATTTAGTGCACTTAAAAAGTGATTTAAGAGACCTACCAGCTACATTTTCTACTGAGTGTTCACTTGCAGGATAATCTGACCTGCTATCCTGTCAATAGCACATTCGTATCCAAACCTATTGTTTGCCTTTAAGGAGGACTTAAGAGATTTATTTCATGTGTTCAGGCTGGCTTGCTTGTCTCATCAAGAAACCCACAGCATTCTCTACAGAGTCAAAGTTGCCAGAGGGTCATTATCAATATTTGACATGTTCAGTGACTGCCTAGGAAATATATAATAAAGCTGAACATATTTTATAAGTAGTAGATGTAAATTTCTTCCCTAATTGATATATTATGTAAATAATGTACAAATGTACAATGTAATTGTACATATTTTTGTAATAAATGAAAACACTAAATTCAAAACATAGAGCAACATGTATTATTTGTTGCTTTAAGATATAGACTGAATTAGTTTGAACATAATTATGTAAATGCAAATGAATTATGGGATTAATCAGCCAACGTTTAAAAATGTCATTCAGGTGCTTCTATTAGATTTCCTTTTTACACATGTGTACATGTGTAAAAGGCAGCATAATGCCTAAGATCATGGAGCTAGTCAATAAATTCCAGTCCTTTCCTTTCTTTCTCTTTCCTTAGTATGTGTATATTTGGTGAAATGTCAAATCAATTTTAAGGATAGTGCCAATAAATCTTAGTTGTACATAGGATACTTTACATGTTTTCTATAAAATAGCATAGTGGTTTTGAATTCTTGTAATGGATATAGCTCTGAGATATAATTATCCATTCCTAATGTGGTAGGGCATGGTGGTTTGTAGGAAAGCAGAGGATAAACTTTGAGAAAACCCACCAGTATCATGTAATCAAAGTAATAGTCATAAACAAGCTATGCTACCCATAAGCTGACTTTTAGATTAATTCAAAAGGTATAATTAACTCCATTTTAAATGCCCTTCTCCCATATCTCCCTGTCCTTGGGTCAGTCTTGATGCATTGCATTTCCCTCCTGGCATATCCTCCGTGCGGTGCCCACTGTGTGGTGAATCATACCCCCCACTAATTACACCACATGTTTCTGTGTTGCAAGTTGATTTTTCACATTTGTCTGTTAGCATCACAGTTGCTGGTTGGTTGCCAGTTTCTTAAGACATCCCAAACAGAAAGAAAAGCTGCTAGCATTGGATCTTGAAATAAATCCCTTAGCATTCCTAGAATATGTAAACTCTTTAGAGAAAATCTCGTATCCATAAAAATTATGATAAAATATTTAAAAATTATAACATTTTAATTTGTTATTCAAATTCTCTGGCTTAATGGGACCACATTCTTCCATCATTCTTCCTAAACATACTCAGTTACTCAGATGATGGCAATGCCATTTCGTCATCCAGTTTTTATGTCATCAGTTTTGTTTCCCCTGCTACTCAAAAACTTTAGTAGTTCCCTTGCAATCAAAGATAGTGTCAAGCCCTCAGACTACTTGTTTGGAGAAGACGGAGAATAACTTTCTCTCTACAAACAAAAATTGAACTTTTATCCTTATATCCAGCTTTAAGGCTATTTTGTCCATTGGATATGCTTTGTAATTAGAACCTGTCTATTAAGAAATTAATTGGTCCATTGGATATGCTATGTAATTAGAACTCAGCCTATTATGAAAAATAAATTAAATATGTCTGTTTTAATATTTAGTTAGGAAACCAGAGCTGCTTTTATGGCTATTTAAACTGTAATATCCACTCTTCTTTCTCCTTTCAATCCCCAAATAAGTCACACCTAATGGACACAGTCATATTGCATTTCAATACTAAGCTCACTCCACATATTAAGTATACTTTCTGTAGCGACTGTGGAACATTGTTTCAAATGGATTCTTATTTACATGTTGGACATGAGTTCATAAGGCATGCATATTTGCCATTTAATTTTTTTTTGTTTTCAGCTAAAGAACTTTATGAAGAACTATGATGGAGTAGCTGCTGCTTCTTTCTCAAGAGCTGTGGAAACTGTCGAAGCCAATGTACGTTGGAAAATGCTTTACCAAGATGAGCTTTTCCAATGGTTAGGAAAAGCTCTGAGACACTAATATGTGTCTCAAAAACAACTCAACTCAGAAATTCTGTGGAAAGCTCTGCTTTATGTAGAATGAAGAAAATGGCCCGATTTTCAGTGTTAACGTGTGGGAGGAATTTTTTTTAAATTGGTTTTGGGGGATTTTTTTGTTTCATTCATTCTGTTTTGTTTCTCTACTGGGTGTTCTTTAAAGAAACTCTTGCAAGTTAAACTAGCCATGATTGCTTCAGCTGTACATTCCTTGCTCTACAGGACCAAATACGGTAGTGGTGCATGTTGATGTTGCAGTTTGGAAAAACATATTCAGAATATTTTGTGCATGGTTGTATGGTCCTGCCTGTGTTTCAGCATGCTTATTTAAAATGTCCAATATTGTATGTTACATATGTTACATCCAGGATGGGCATTATGCAAAAGCACAAATATCTGTGACAATCAGTGTTGCAATGAAAGAAAAAGTAAAACAGAAAATTATATTCTTAGTCTTGGGCATTGTAAGAGGTAAAATAGCCTTTAAGTGATCAAGGTCACTTATTTCAGCACTTGGAGTGTCTTGCAATGACTACTGTTTTGTTAACTCATTTTCTTTGAGTTAAAGTTGTGTATACATTAAAAAGGCATATAGATACTGTATGCATATGTATATGTACATAGGGAAGCCCTGTATGTATATAGTATGCTGTACACTGAACTTCTGCAAAGACTCTCTTCAGATCAAGAAAAATTTATCTCTTTTACAAACTTCTGCAAACTTTGAAAAAGCTGAAGAAAATTTATCTTAGCATTACCCTTCTTGACACTTTCCTGTTTCTCAACTGTTATGAATTTTTCATATACTTCCTTAACAGTGGTCTACTCTACTACATACAAAACTAATTCAAACAAAATTTATGTATAAACTAAACAATTTTCTAATTCTTCTAAGTAAGTGGCAGCCTTTCATTCTAAATATAGATTCTATTATCATTTTGGTCAAACTTCCTGTTGCATAAAACAATTGTGCTTACTTAATAATTATTAGTGCTGTAAAAATATTTATTTTTTTCATCTTGTTTGTTTTTCCATCTTATGTTGGCTGTCAGTTAAAATACTCGCTCTGTGTGTTGGTTCTGTGTCTGTGAATCTAATCCTCCATTAAGCAACTATACCTCAAGCGGGTCTATTAGCCTTTAATGACCTTTGATGCCAGTCATGCCACCTATTAAAAGTTGAAGTTACTCTCTTGAACAAAACTTTTTCTTTGGCATTGACAATGCTTTTCTTTGTGTTATGTAACCCAAGTATTTCTAAATGGTATTCTCGCCCAGTAGGCCAGCCCTCCAAATGTTGTTTAAATGCTCCAAATTGACATAAAGTTTATCATTATAAAATACCAACAGGACTACCATACATAAGCCGAATGTTTGTGGACCACTCTCTATTTTCCTGAAGTGTTTCACTCCTCTAAATCTCCTCCAAATCTTATTGCAAGTCATTGAAAGAAAATATTCTAATTCTAATTGTCAGTGAACACTGGCAAAAAAAATATATAGGTATTTTAGAAAGTGAAGCCATAGATTTATTATAGGTTTGTAGTTGTTAATCCATACAATGGATATCACCTAAAACTGAGTATTGTCTTTTTAGCAGTTACTATCTGTTACTTATGCCTAAATTTTCCAGTGCTTCTTTTTAAAACACATGGATTTTAAATATTCTACGTGGAGTTACTAAGACATAGTAATGATTAGCATAAAATTTAAGAGCCTTCCATTTATGAGGAGTGATGTGAACTCTATAAGGAGTAAGTTCTGAAACATAACAATAATAAATATCCCACAGCTGTGCAGGTCTGAAACATGTACTATATCACCACTGAATTTATGTAATAGAGAAGATAAAAAAAATAGAGGTGAATGTCTTGTTTTGTGTTGTGAATTACTGAAAATTCTTAGTAGTTGAGGCATTCATTTGAGTGAAATCACCATTTCCAGATTTGAGTTAGAAGGGCTTTTATAGTTTTTTTCTTCCTCCCCACTGTTAATAATCTTAATCCTCTTTCAGTATTTTAGTGGCCTTGAACAACTGGTTTAGCTACAATGTCAAATCCTAAGTGTATAATTCTGTGCAATGTTCAATACCTCATATAATACTTGTTCAACAGTATAAGTGGTATCAATGGCATTGAGATGGAATTTTTGTTCTACATATTTTTCAATGATTATTCTTTCAAATGTTGAAGATTATATCAGGCTTTAATGTTTTTTAGTTGTTTAAATAAGTAATATTTTCAAAATAATAAAATGACCAATGATATCTCTTGGAATATTCTGTAAAATGTAGTTATAAAATTCTATTTTCTACATAGAGTTTTTATCTTTTTCCTCTTCTTTGTTTAACAACTCATATATATGCATGAAATTACAAATTGTTGAAAGTGTTCAACATCTAAGCTTAAAATTTTACTGTGCCAATATATGTATAATGGCAAAACTTGGTTTCAATTAGAAAGGACTAAATAATTTACCATACTGAATATTAAATATCTCTAGGTAACTTGTAAATAAAAAGTTTTACCCATTTTGACACATTTTTCCTTAAAAGTTTCTTATAATCTTTGAAGTTTTGTTTTTTTTTTTAAGATATATAAGTACAACATCTAAAGCTAATGTCTACAATGCTATGATTATTCCTGAGTTTCAATAACATGGACTCTGGCTGGAGCTTAAACTCATTTGGGTGCATATTATTTCTTGGGTAATTATAGGAATGAGATTTTTGTAGTAGTGTAATTTTAAAATATTATACATATAATATCTTACAAGTTTATTAAGATTATATCATATATTTATAAATTGCATTTCATTTTCAGAGAACTTTTACACATGCCATTTGATTTGACTCTTTTCAAAAACATAATAAATTATATTAACCCTGGTTGTCTGATGAGAAAACAGAGGCACAGAGTAGCAATATAAACCATTTAAAATTATATAGTTGTTATTTTGGAAACAGGTAAAATAAGGATTTTAATACAGCCTTTCTACCGTTAAAATAGAAAGATATGTCTGAAATATTTCTATGCATTGCATTAGTTGGAGATTTTCCAAATACTGAAAGCAGCATTAAAATATGTGATTAACTATATCTACAATAACTATGTTATTTTTTAATGTCTGTGTTTCTGATTTGCTTGATGTCAAACAACTGGATGAAATGTTAATCAGCACTGACTTAGGTCAGCATAAGAGGCCAAATATTGAGACAAAATATATAGTTTATTGATCATAGTTTTCTTTTTTCTCTTTTGTTGGACATTGTTTAAATGATCTTAAGATACTGAGAATTTGATTTATATTTCACACAAATTTCTTTAATAAACTCTATCTGTAGTAACAAATGGTCAGACCACAGATAAAATGGTATCCATATAAATCCGTGAAAATAGTATTCAGTAAAATATTTATAGATCTATGCAAGGTTATGAAAAGCAAACTTTGTGCAACTGTAGTATTAGATATGATGCAGTAAAAGGATTTCTAAAAAGTTACAATAAAACATTTAATTAAAATTTACTGGCTATTAAAAATTTAAGAAATGTTTTCCTAAGAAGTTGAAAACCTAAAATAGCCCAATTATTCTTTTAAGTTACACCCATGAAGTAACCACATATGCCTATTAAAGAAATAGTATAATCTCACATAATTAGAAATTCAGATTCCGACTCCTGTATTTTTTTTCTTTGTCACAGATTGTAGCTGAATTATTATAATTTGACACTGTTAATTATGTAATGACAGAATTCAATTTAATTAAACAGATACTTATGCGCACGTTTTATTTCACAAAGCACTATTTGAGAGGCAAGGAAGGAAGAGAGGAATAAGGCCTGAAGGAATTTACATCACAATGAATGAAACAAAAATAAGGAAATAATGAACCAGTCCAAATGAGGGCAACATGAAAAATAATTACAGGCTACAGAAGAAGAACTGAATAAATTTTAAGTATGAATAATGTTATGCAATTATTTTTGTGCACTAGTTCTCAAAACTTTTATGGATAATTCTTATTTTGTTTCATACACTTAGCTGTGTTTCATAAAACTGTGTAACATTTAGAAAGTATAATAATATCACTTAGTTTAAATTTTATAATTGGACCATATATTGGGATAAAATTTATCTTTAAGAAAAGCTGTTTGAACAGTTTAACAACCAGTAAGCTGTAAGAAGAATATTTAACTTATTTATGTAAAAGCAGTTTAAGTTTTCTAAAATGGTTTTAGCATACTATTTGTATAGTCACAATATAAGTTAAAGTTAATTATATATATTTTAAAGCATATATACAAAATAAATATATATTTATTTAATATATAAGATTCATATATACATATATAAAAATTCATATATATGAATTATATATAAATTCATATATATAAAATTCATATATATTCACAAAAATATATATACTTTTACTTAAATATATATATTTTATATATATGAATAAAAATTCATATGGTATGTATATTATTTTATATGTATATGTGTATTTTATATGTATACATTTTATATACATGTATAAAAATTCATATATATATAAAATAAATATATATATTTAAGTAAATTATATATATTTCAATAATTTTTATTCTAGGGAATAATAGATTTATTCAAATTGATATATGTGAACTTTTCAGTACAAAGATTTTATATATAAAATTAGTATATATATTCACAAAAAATATAAATATATATATTTAAGTAAAAGTATATATATTTCAATAATTTTTATTCTAGGGAATAATATATTTATTCAAATTGATATATGTGAAATTTTGAGTACAAAATTTTCTTGTAAAATATTCTTAAATTCCAAATTTAATATATGAGTAGGCTTCAGCTTAAGTGCTTTGAGTTATATGAAAGTAGTTTATTAAAATATTTTGTTTAATGTGGTTTATACTCAGGAAAAACCTAACAAAAGTATACTCTAGTTGCTTTTATTTTCTATTTTATTTTATGAAATTTTATCTCAAAGTTTACAAAAGGGAGTTTTAAGTGTTAAATATTAAAAATATTTTAATATTTAGAGGTTAGTGAAAAAATAATTTCTAGGTTTAAGTATAGTGCATATGAGTAATTACATGTGTTTTATTTTTAAATAAGTAGTTCACAAATAGCCATACTAGTGGGCAGTATGATTTTATCTAGATTTTGAAAACATAACATTTTAAGGAATTTCATTTTGAATATTTAATAGTTTATGCAAAGTTCATTGAAGATGTTTATCCTTCAGACATTCCCATTTTATGTAATTGCACTAAGAAAAAAGTATGAGCAATTCTTTATCTTGATATGAATTATTTTGTGCTGTACTGATGTTTAATGAGTTAGAATATAAGGAAAGAATAAAAATGTGAGTGTCTACTTAATTCCAGGCACTTTATAGATATCTCATTTAAATAATTTAATAAAATGTTATCAGTTTCATTTTTACCATTGAGGAGACTAAGCTGAGAGTTGTAATCAGTTTATATAATTGGTGGTAGGTATTAGCTGGGATTCAAACTTTGCACACTCATGCCTCACATAGCTCAAATTAGTCATTAATCTGCCTCCAACATGCATAGACACATAATGATTGTCCAAACATCCAGACTCTATAGAACATTCGAATACTTCTCTTACTTTCTCATTGTCATTGGCATATTTGAGAGACTTATTAATTATACATTCTGGTTTGCCACTCATTTCTTAAAAAGGATGTTTTATATTAGTGTGTGTAGTGGGTTTTAAGCTATAATAGGTAATTAACAGATATTCCAACCAACAAGCCAAATAAATAAATAAGCAAATAAAAAGAGAGGCTGGGTTGCAAAGCTCTTCACTAGTGGACCAAAAGACAAGGTTAAGCCTCTGTTCTGCATGTCAGTCGAGTGAGAATTTTGCCTAGTGATGAAGTCAGGAAAGTATTTTTCTCTTTGTGCTTAGATCTATGGATGAACTGCAGCTACTCAATATACCTGAAGTTATATTTCCATTGGGCTGCTGCTGTGTGTACAGTTTAAGATAACTGCTTTGACCTAACTCTTCACAGGTCAACTTGCTTATAATCGCACATATTTTTATTATGTCATGTACATAAATGAAAGAGTGGATTGTTTTACAGTAAATATTACGGTGGAGTTAAGAATATATGCCTTGAAAATGCAGTGTATTTATTTTCTGTGTTAATCATTTGGTCTCTATTCTTTTAACCCCTACTAAATTCACAATATTATACTTACTCTTACCCATCATTGTGTTCTCACCTTCACTTAGGATCTACTGGGTTAGAACATTTATTATTAACTTTTTATTATTTAGCTTCATTTAAAATAAGATTGTTATATGTCTTTTCTCAAGTGTGAAGCATTTTTCAAATGAATTCCTCCTCAAATGTTCTATCTTTTAAAATATTACATAATAGTGATCTCACATTATATTTTTAAAATGCTACTTGTACATTGCCATATATGAATGTATTTGCTGTTTTTCTTTGCTATCTTTTAGTCCCTTTACATTTTGATAGTCACTAAAAACAAATTAGGACTATAAATCTAAAAAAACATTAAGCCTGTGAAGCTTATCCACTGTCCAGCTATTTGAAGCAAGAAGAGAAATTTTTCCTTTGAGCTTTCATATTTGGCTTTCTAGACATCACTGAATTCATCAGATAATTATTAAAAAATATGGTGTGGACTATTTCTAATGAACTTGAATGTATTCAGCAACAATGTTTATTTTCCTATAGACATTCCCCAAATGAACAGACATTTAAAATATGCCAAATGGAAGTAATTTTTTCCTTTCTAATATTTTATGATTTAGAAATAAAAAGGTAACTTTTTAAAGTAAATATAAATTGCTAAAGCATTTACCAAATACATAACTTTGTGTTAGTTTAGCAGATGTTTTCTATGGTATACCTTTAAAATTATTCAGTGAAAATTGAATTAGCATGTATACCTCATAAAATTTTTATTCCATCATAACTAAGCACTAACAAAATGGACTTTTCTAAATGAGAAAATTTGTCTTCTGTATTTTAAGCAGAACAAATTTGAATTTTGTCTCTGATAATAAAATTTTGCACAGTAATGTATAATTCATCACTGTCTTAATTTTCTGACATGTCCAGATAAGGCCAAGATAAATAATACCTTCTGCTTTATTATTATGCCTCTGTTTTCACTTGAGAACCAACCAATTTTAAAAAATTCTGATTATACATACCATAAGAGGTCCATGAAAAGAG